ATATATATCATGAGAAAAGAAAATGATGAACTAATATCCATAATAAATATAGATGCAGATATGCGTTATAAAATACTAACAAATCAAATTTAGCAACCTAAAAAAGGATTCTGCACTATGACTAGATGGGATTTATTCCCAAGATAAAATATTTTTTTACCATTTTAAAATCAGTTATGATCACATCCATAGATACAGAAAAAGTATTTGAAAAAAATTCAACATCCTTCATGATTAAAAACACTTGACAAACAAGGCATAGGAGGGAACTTCCTCTGTCTGATAAAGGGCATTGGTGAAAAACTTGTAGTTAACATATTTAATAAAGACTTATTTAGATAGTAAATCTGATAAAGAGACTCCATGAAAAACCCACAGTTAACATTTAAATAGTAAAGACTGAAAACATATTTAATAGTAAATTCTGAAAACATTAAATCCCTCTAAGATCAAGGACATGACAGGAATCATCTTTTGCCACTTCTTTTTAGCATTGTGCTGAAAATTCTAGACAAGGACAATTAGTCAAGAAAAAGAAATAAAAGACACCTAGATTCAAGGGAAAAGGCACAAACAACACTGATAAATGAGTTGAGCAGTGTAGTAGGATACAAGATCAATATGAAAAATCCAATTGTATTTCTGTACACTAGCAATGAACGATCAGAAAAAGAAAGTAAAAGTACAGTACCACATAAGGTGACATCAAAAATGATAACATCATCAGGAGTAAATTTGTAAAAGAATGATAAGACTTACATATTGAAAACTGTAAGATATTTTTAGAAGAAATTAAGACATAAATAGAAAGTCATTTCGTTGATTTGAAAAGTAAATATTGTTATATGGCAATACACCTCAAATTGAACTATAGATTTGACAATTCTTATCAATTTTAGTGGGCTTTTTTTTTTTTTTAACAGAAGTTGACATGTGGATCCTCCAATACATATGGAAATGTAAAGGACTCAGAATAGCTCAAACAATCTTGAAAAAAAATTAGAGGGCAGCCGGGCTTGGCAGCTCAGCCTGTAGTCCCGCACCTTGGAAGGCGAATGAGTGAATTGCCTGAGCCCGCGGGTTCGAGACCCGCCTGGGCAACTTGGCGAGACTTCATCTCTACAATAAATCAAAAAACTAGCCGGGCATGGTAGCGCACGCCTGTAGTTCCAGCTACTTGGAAGGCTGAGGCGGAAGGATCACCAGAGCCCAGCAGATCGAGGCTGCGGTGACCGGGAGCAGCCACTGCACTCCAGTCTGGGCGACAGCGTGAGACTCCAACTCAAAAAAAAAAAAAAAAATTGGGGGGCTCACACTTGCAATTTCTAAACTTACTACAAAGCTTTGATAGGTAATATCACTTAGTACTGGTATAAAGGTAGATACATGGATCAATGAGACAGATTTGAGAGTCCAGAAATAAACCCATACATCTGTGGCCAGTTGATTTTTGACAAGAGTATCAAAATACGAGTAATGCAATTGTGGAAAAAAATAGTCTTATCAACAAGTGTTACTGAGACAAATAAAAATCAACATTCAAAAGAATGAATTTGAAACTCTGTCTCATGCTATATAAAAAAATTAACTCAAAATAGATCTTACCTACAAGTAAGAGCAAAAACTATGAAACTGTTAGAGAAAGATAAAGGTGTTAAGTATTCATGACCTTGGATTAGGCAATAGTTTCTTAGATATGATATGTAATGCATAAGCAACCAAAGAAAAAAATAGATAAATTGGACTTCATAAAAATTAAAAACTTTTATATGTCGAAAGACACTATAAAGAAAGAGAAAAGACAACCTACAAAATGAGAGGGGATACTTGAAACCCATCTATCAGCCAAGGGACTTTTTTTTAATACATAAAGAATATTTACAATGCAACAGTGAAAAGGCATTATGATCCAGAAAATGTGGGTAGATATTTCTTAAAAGAAGATACACAAAAAAGGCCTGAAAGCAGTTGAAAAGATTCTCAACCACATTAGTCAACAGGAAAATGCAAATAAAAATCCAAATAAGGTACAACTCATTCTATAATGACTATAATAAAAGTTAGGCAATAATAAGTATTGCTGGAGAGTGTGAAGAAAGTAGAATCCTCATACACTGCAGGTGGGAGTGTAAAATGGGTAAACAATTGACAGTTCTTCAAAAAACTAAACTTTTAGTTACCAAATACCCCACCTAATTTCACTCGTGGGTAGAGAATTAAAAACATGTCCACACCAAAACTTGTACATGGATCATCACAGCATTGTTATTTGTAATTGCCAAGAGTGAAAACAATCCAAACGCTTATCAGCTGATTAAAGGACACACAGAATGTGATATATCCATACAAAAGAATATTACTCAGAAATAAAACATATGGCTACATGTGCTACAACATGGATAAACCTTGAAAATATGCTGAGTGAAGAAATTAGACATAAAGGTTACACTGTATATAATTTCATTTATGTAAAATGTTCAGATGAGGCAAATCCATCTCTATGATTTCCAGTGACTGTGGGGAGGAGGAAATGGGAATGACTGCTAATGGGTATGGGAATTTTTTCTGGTGTGACGAAACTTCTGGATTTAGATAGTGGTGATGGTTGCAAAACTTTGAGAATATACTTAAAATTCTCCAAATGATACATTTAAGAAAGAATCCATGAAAAATGATGTTTTTCTTCTTAAGTGTCGCCTTAGAGATTCTGATTCAATAGACTGGAATGGGCCCCAGGAATCTGCAACTTTACTAAGAACTCCAGATTATTTTGAAGCACTTGGTATATTGAGCCACAGTTTAAAAAACAACACGTTGAAATGATTTTTCCCCCTAAATTTGAAAGTAGTAAATGTAAACATCCACTTTTGAAAATCTAGTTCCATTTTTTCAAAGCTCCCTTCCTATCTAGCCACCAAGGCATCCACAGATTTTGCAGGTCAGGTATTATATCTAGAATTCCTTATTAGTATAAAGTTGTTTTTATTTAATTTTAACTAAAATAGATATACAGTTGACCCTTTGTAGCTGTGGGCTCTGCATCTATGAATTCAGCCAACAGCCAATTGAAAATATTCAGGAAAAAAACAAAACCAACCATAAAAGTAATACAGATAAAAAACAATACAACATAGCAACTATTATATCGCATTTACATTGGATTAGGTATTATAAGTAATCTAAAGATAACTGAAAGTATACTGAAAGTCATGTGTAGGTTATATGATTACATTGTACATAAAGGAATTGAGCATTGGCAGATATTGGTATCTGAGGAGGTCCTGGAACCAGTTCCCCATGGATACCGAAGGCCAACTGTATCCTGAAATCTGAACATGAAATATCTTGACTTATGTAATTAATTTTGTTCTCAATTACACAAGACTTTCCACGAGCCCCCCTCCCCCGCTTTTTGTTTAAGAGATGAGGTCTTACTCTGTCACCTACGCTAGAGTGCAGTGTCACAATCATAGCTCACCGCAGTCTCAAACTTCTGGGATAAAGCAATCATCCCTCCTCAGCCTCCTGAGTAGCTGGGACTATAGAAATTCTGTTAAAAAATATCTGTTAGAGAGAGAAAACCTTCTTTATCTGGGTCTGGCCTTCCTGGCAGTTCAGAGAAAAGCATCTGTGGGCTACTTGTACCTCTATTATAATTTCAGTTGGGGCTATAAAACTTCGGGAATAACTTACAGTCTGTTGCATATCTCTAGCTAGACAACCAGGGCCCAGTTACTTGAAACTTTTAATTCATTTCATTTTAAAAACCTGAAAAGCAAAACAAAAGTGAAAAAAAAAATGTAATGGCCAAAATTATTAAAAAAAACTCTTGATAGCTAGAGGTATATCTCAGCAGCATAGTCATTCTCATATCTATTGCTGGCAAGTCCTTGAATTTTAAAAAAATTGTTGTTAAATGCAAAGTTGAAACTGCCTGTCTTAAGAGATGTTGACTTTTTTTTAAAGCCCAGTATCAAACACAGTTGTTGCGTACTAATTCATTATTAGTAGTACTCTTCTTAAAATATTATAAAATGTATCTCATTAAGGAAATTCAGATTTCTAGACTGACTTATAATGACAAAGGCAAAATGTATCAGAGCTCTGGAGGCAGAGTGGACAGAAATGATGGAGGGATAAATACAATCAACAGAATATTTATAACCCCATAGAATTCACATATTGAAGCTCAGCTCCCTAATGTGATGGTATTTGGAGGTGGAACCTTTGAGAGATAATTAGGTCACGAGAGTAGAGTCCTCATGATGGAATTGTTGCCATTATCAGAGAAGACATGAGAAAGATAATCTTTCTCACTACCGTTTGAGGATACAGCAACCAGGTGGCCATCTGCAAACTAGAAGGAGGGCTCTCATCAGGCTTGGCTACACTAGAACTTGATCTTTTGCATCCCAGACTCCAGAGTTGTGAAAAAGAAATGCTTACTGTTTAAGCCACTCAGTCTGTGGTATTTATACCACATCCCCAACTACAAAAACAATAAAGAAATTGAATCTGAGAAGTGTAAAAATTGAGGACCAGTCTGAGAACTAGATGGTAAAGATACATTCAAATGACTGAGTCAAAGATAGCCCCAAATTTGTTAATAGAAAGATCTTCTATCTTGGTGACCTTAAATAATAAAAATAATAAATATGATAACAGAAATGTACAGTGGTAGTTATATGCTAGGCCTTATACTAATCCCACTACATCCTGATAAAATATATTATCTCCAAAGAAGGAACTTAATGCATTGAGAAACTATGTTAGTTTCAAAACTTCTTTCTGCATCTGTGAAATGGGAATAATTATTTTATGAGTTTAAAGAGGATTAAATGTATTAATATGTACATAAATCCCCTTTATACATTGTTGGTACATAGTACACACCCAGAAAGTGGAACAACTTGTTATTATTAAGTGGATGTTGTGTGATCCATTTCATCTTCATGTAAAAAGTCTTGCTAACTTCCAGTATATTATAGTGTTAATGCATAACACTTTCATTTGTTTTTAATACAGGGCCCCCTGGAGCAGCTGTCCCTCCACCTGCAGGCTACCCAGGAGGCTTGCCTATGGGATACTACAGTCCACAGCAGCCCAGTACCTTCCCCTTGTACCAGCCAATTGGTGGTACCAGTCCTATCCAGTATCAGCCTGGCAAATATCCTACGCCAACTCAGCCTGTGCCAATAGCATGGATGCCAGGGCCAACTCCTATGCCAAACTGTCCTCCGGGTCTGGAATACTTAGCTCAGGTACTCTTGCAAATCCCAATTATTTTCTTGTGAAGTATGACCATAGGGATCCAACTAGATGAGACAAAAGGCTGGACAGAGTGAATAAGGGAGACAAGTCAGTGATGACAGATGCCTAGTTTGTGAAACCATAGGAATGGTGGTGCTAATTTCAGAAGTGTGAAGGGGGAGCAAAGAGTACAGAGATGTTTTTAGTGGAATGAGTATGGTGGTCTTTAAGACTTCAGGTAGACTTTTAAGATATTTAGAATGCCCTCTTGTATAAAATAAGGACAGGAAAAGCTTCATGGATACTAGTATCATTTGCTTAGAAGTGAAGAGTTAGCATCAAGAAAAGCAACATAAAAAAAGAAACAAAACATAAGAAAGCAGGTGAATTGCTGAGTGCCTTAGCCCACTACTTTTCCTCACCACCTGTACTTTTAGCTAGTCACTCCTGCTACCCCCCAAAATAGACAATGTAAATAAAAATAAGAAACCTACTAAGGATATTGCTTTGGGCCAGGTTCCAGAGACTCCCTTCACACAACACAGTGACTCCCTACTTTCTATTTATATAGACAGCCTGGAGCCACCAGGACATCCAGATCAAAAACTGGGGTGATATGCAAAGTCGGTGTTCAAATGGCATTGTTTAAACACCCATGTCAGAAACTCGTAAAATCTGATTAATGGAAATAAAATAGGCTAGATGAAGTGACTCACATTTGTAATCCCAACACTTTGGGAGGCCAAGTTGGGAGGATTGCTTGAAGCCAGGAGTTTGATACCAGCCTAGGCAACGTAGCAAGACCCCATCTTTAAAAAAATATAAATTTAAAAAAATTTTTAAAAAGACAATAAGATAAAGTTAGTAGAGCAGTCCCCCTTTGTCCCCCTTATCTGTGATTTCACTTTCTGTGGTTCATAAGTTTTAAATTGTATACCATTCTGAGTTGGACGGTGAAATCTTGAGCAATCCTGTTCTGTCCTGGCCTGGACATGAATCAGTCCTTTGTCTGAAATATACTGCATGTACTACTCATCCGATAGTCACTTAGTAACCATCTTATTTAATAACTATACAAAATTGATACACTTTTCTAATCCCTTAGTGCTTAGATTTAGTCATCTATAAAACAGACTATCAATACCTCACTTACCTGGTTGTTATGAGAATTTTTAATGAGATAAGGCTTTTGGCACACAAGGTGGACACAATGGATGATTGCTGTGTGGATGTTATTAGTTGAAATACCTTCTTGTGTGTGAATTCAAGGTATGGAGCCATCACGTTTCTCTATCTACCTTAGTCTTTTGGGAGCTCATAATGCAGGTTACATGAATCACTATCAAGATTACCAAGACATCCTTAACATCAGAGTAGCAGGATTATATTATTTGCAGAGTATTGACTTTGGCAGTCACTCTGCCAATTTGTCAAATAATTGCCTCTTAACAGGCATAATATCTTATTGGATAAGCCTACTCTGCATTAATGAGCATCTGTTCTTCAGAATGTTTTGCGTTACGGCGCACATTTTTTTTTTTTTGAGTTGGAGTCTCTGTCACCCAGTCTGGAGAGCAGTGGGATGCCATGGCCACTGCAGGCTCAACCTGCTGGTCTCAGGTGATCCTTTCACCTCAGCCTTCCAAGTAGCTAGAACTACAGGCACATGCCAACTTGCCCAGCTAATTTTTTGATTTTTATTGTAGAGATGAGGTCTCGCCAAATTGACCAGGCTGGTCTCAAATCTGTGAGCTCAAGCATTCCTGTCACCTCAAATGCTGGGATTGTAGGCATGAGCCACCACACCCAGCTGCAGTGCACACTTTTACCAAATACAGACAGACCTCGTTTTAATGTACTTTGCTTTATTGCTCGCAGATAATGTGTTTCTTACAAATTGAAGGTTTGTGGCAACCTTGCATGATGCAAGGCTGTCAGAATCATTTTTTCCATAGCGTGTGCTCACTTCTTGTCTCTATGTCACATTTTGGTAATTCTCACAATATGTCAAATTTTTTTGTTATTTTTATATCTGTTATGATCTGTGATCAGTGATCTTTGAAGTTACTGTTGTACTTGTTTGGGGGCACTACGAACCACATGCATATAAAATGGATAATTTAATTGACACATATTGTATTTGTCCTCACTACTTTACCAACCAGCCATTCTCCACTCTCTCTCCCTTCCCTTGGTTTCCCTGTCCCCTGAGACACAATAGTATTGAAGTTCAGCCAGTGAATAACCTTACGTGTCTTCTAAGTATTCAAGCAAAAGGAGGAATCACATGTCTTTCCCTTTAAGTGAAAAAGCTGAAAATTATGAAGCTTTGTAAGGAAGGCATGCTGACCAAGATAAGCTGAGTTCTAGGCCTCTTGCACCAAACAGTTAACCAAGTTGTGAATGCAAAGGGAAAGTTCTTGAAGGAAATTAAAAGTGCTATTCCATAGGACACACGAATGACATGAAAGCAAAACAGCCTCATTGCTGATATGGAGAAAGTTTGAGTGGTCTGGTAGACGATCAGCAGCTACAACATTCCATTAAGCCAAAGTCTAATCCAGAGCAAGGTCCTAATTCTCTTCAATTCTATGAAGGCTGAGATAAAGGAGGAGACTGTAGAAGAAAAGTCTGAAACTAGTAGAAATTGGTTCATGAGTTTTAGGGGAAGAAGTCATCTCCTTAACATAAAAGCACAAGGTGAAGCAGCAAGTGCTGATGGAAAAGCTGCAGTAAGTAATACAGATTTACCTAAGATCATTGAAAAAGGTGGCACACTAAACAACAGGTTTTTTTCAATGCCTTATATTGGCATAAGATACCATCTAAGAACTTTCATAACTAAAGAGGAGAACTGGCTTCACAGTTTCAGAAGACAGTCTGACTCTTATTAGTAACTGGTGATCTTAAGTTGAAACCAATACTCATTTACTATTCCAAAAATCCTAGGTCCTTTTAAGAATTGTGCTAAATCGACTCTGCCTGTGCTCTATAAATTGAATAGCAAGGCCTACATGGCAGCACATCTGTTTACAGTAAACTTTACTGAATAATTTAAGCCCACTGCTCAGGAAAAAAGATTCCTTACATAATTTTACTGCTAACTGACAATGCACCTAGGCACCCAAGGACTCTAATATAGATGTACAAGGAGATTTATGTTGTTTTCATGCCTGCTAACACAGCATCCTCTCAGCAGCTTATGGACCAGGGGGCAATTTTGATTTTCAAATTTTATTAATTAAGAAATACACGTTGTTAGGCTGTAGCTTCCATAGATAGTGATTCTTCTGACAAATCTAGGCAAGGTAAATTAAAAATTGTCTGTAAAGGATTCACCTTTTAGATGCCATTAAGAACATTCATGATTCATGGGACAAAGTTAAAATATCAGCACAAACAGGAGTTCGAAAGAAGTGGATTCCAGCACTCAGGAATGACTTTTAGGGGTCCAAGACTTCAGTGGGAGAAGTCACTGTAGATGTGGTAGAACTAGCAAGAGAACTAGAATTAGAAGTGGAACCTGAAGATGTTGACTGAATTGCTGTAATCTTATGATATAGCTTCATGATGAGGAATTGTTTCTTATGAGCAAAGAAAGTGGTTTCTTGAGGTGGAAACTACTCCTAGTGAAAATGCTGTGACCATTGTTGAAATGACAAGAAAGAATTTAAAATATTACATAAACTTAGTTGATAAAGCAGTGGCATGGTTGGAGAGGATTGACTCCAATTTTGCAAGAGGTTCTGCTGTGAATAAAATGCTATGAAACAGCATTGCATGAATGCCCTTTCAGAGGTACCTGTGAAATAATATAAAATTGAACACTTCATGTGAGATTCATCCTGGCTTATTCGATCTCCCTAAGCCTGAGAAAATTGCCTTCTCTATAACTGGTCCATGTTAAATCATTCTGAACTTAACAAGCAAATACAGTCTGTGGATGACATGTCAAAGGGTCTGATGAGTAGGAATCTAGGAACAATCTTTGTAAACACAGCTTCTTCTAGATGCTATTATTATAGCAAGTACATCTTTTAAAATATATATATATGGCAACTATTTTTTAAAGTGGAACTGTAAGAAAGTATTTTTCTTATTTGCACAGCTCTGCTAATATCCATCTGATAAGATGCAGATAAGCTCATTTCAGTTGATAAATTTTTTTCACTCTTCGATTTCAAAAATATATCTTGCTATTGATATATTTTAATATCTGTCTCATCAGTTTGTTTTGTAATGCTAATTTGATTGGATTCGATCTGTTATTTCTGTTTTCTAATTGCTTTGTTCTGTCTCAACAGCTGGACAACATACATGTTCTTCAGCATTTTGAGCCTCTGGAAAGTATGTATAATTTTCATGGTGTTCAGCAATATTTTAATCAGGTGGAAATTTGCCCTATCCAATATCTACTTCCTTCTTTATATTGATCATTTATTAGTGGTTTAAAGAGAAATAAACTATGCTGTATTTCTTTGACTCCTAGAAAATAATAAAGAAAATAATATATAATTTTATCAATCTATACATCATATTAACATAAACTTTTAGACTTGAAATAATCTTGCATTTTATCTGGTCAACTTCCCCTTCCCTTTGCCTGTCATTTCTCCTCCATATTCATCTTTCATAGATGAGTAAAAGAAGGAGCCAAGAGACTAATGAGTTAGCAGGGACACCACAGCCAGTTAATCAGTGCTAGAACTTGGAAATAGAATTTAAACAAGTCAGCTAATCAGTGGTAGAGCTAGAAACAGAATCTGAATCTGCCGCATTCTAGCCCAGTGCCTTTGCTTTGGAAGTGAAAAGAAATGATCACAGTCAAAAATGATACCTCTTTTCAGTTCATCCTTATAAGATTACTGACCCTCACTGTACTATTTGACCAACACATAAGGCCTTTGACTTCTCCTGATTCTTTTTCTGATTTGCAGTTAGTAATGACCCTAGTCATCTGAGAATATTTTGTGAGCTGATTAATTAATGTTACAATGTATAATTTTATTTAAGTGGTTTTATAATTAAAATTTCCCAAATTAGACACTCTAGGAGTATTGTTTCAATCTTTACTTTTATGTAGAAATTTTAAAAAATGTTTTTACTGAACTTCTTAAAAGACATGTTTTAAATTTCCAAAATTACTTAAATACTTATAGAGTATATGACTGTTTCTGGTGTTCTAATCAATTCTGTATATTTCACATGAAAATTTTTAAAAGCTATTTTGCTTCAAGCCCCTAAGAAATACTAAACTCTCTGAGGCCCACTTTAGCTGGTTCTAATTTAAGATGACTTTCTCATTTTATTTTTTAGTGATGACACGTTTTGAAACTAATAATAGATACGATATTAAAAACAACTCAAACCAGATGGTTTACATCGTAAATGAAGATACAGATGATTTTACAAGGAATGCGTATAGGACACTAAGGCCCTTCGTCCTTCGAGTCATTGACTGTATGGGCCGAGAAATCATGACAATGCAGAGACCTTTCAGATGTACCTGCTGTTGCTTCTGTTGCCCCTCAGCCAGGCAAGAGGTCTGAGAATGAAAGTGTAATCCTTTTTTCTTTCTGATCCAACTCTTCACACCATAACATGCTCCTTCCGAAACTTTACAGGAAGGATTTCCCCAAGCCCTGACAGTCAGAATGGAAGAAGGTAATGGGGAGAAAGGAAGCCAAATTGACTCACCTAAGAAAAACCACAGAGGGCTTTTCTTGTGGGTTTATACTCTTCAAGTGTTAGTTGATAGATCAGGCATAAAATGGGGCTATTTAGGCAAAGACCATGCTTCGATCAGTTGTGTTTACTGAATTAGAAATTTATGAGATTGACAGTAGTTACCCTTATTTAAATGTACCTGGGTATCAACAGATAAGGTAATGCTAAGCATAAGTACATGCTTTTAGAATTGGAAGGAACTTTAGATACCTATACACTATCCATCACAATTCACATCTTGCTACAGAAAAAAAAGAGTTGCTCAAAATGACTAAATGCCTGAAAGAGTGTCACAGTTGGCTGAGGACAGGGCTGGAACAGGAGTGCAGATGTGCTGAGATACAGGTTGTTTACTTTTTTATCTGTGCAGTTTCTAAGTAAGTTGTTTTCTTTTTTAAAAAATATTTTAAAGATGTGGGGTATGATTCAGGATTAGGTATACAAGTGGACATCATACAGGTAAAGTTTGGGCCTCCCTTCGGTCCCTACTTTGCCTAGTTTGAGATCAGGTACCTTTATTGATATTGTGTTTCCCACCCCACCCCCACCCCCAGCAGTATCCCACTACTGCCAGTCAATCCCTTTCTTATAGTATTATAGTAAATATAAATTTTTTCTCTAGGGATAAGAAAACAATTAGAGAGAGGCCAGCCAAAGTTTGAATTCTAGATCTTCCACTGACTTAAATTTATACAATTTATTTAGTCTCTTTGAGCCTCAGTCTTCTTATTCACAACCTGGGTAGAACAATATCTTCCGAGATTATTGGCATATTTAAATGATATGTTAATGAGCATATTTTACTAAATACAAATTTATGTACAGCTCTTGCTGTGGCTTAATGTATTTACCTGTGGAATGAAGATATTACTATTATCTGTCTGATAGGATGATTGTTTTGAGGATTAAGTCAATTCCTCACCACAGTACCTGGCAGATAGTATAGTACTGTGAATATTTTCTGTTGTTCTCAGATACTTACTCCTTTGTTATTGTTGTTTTTGTAATAGCAAAAGGTGTATTTGAAGTAAATCTCTACCTCTTATCACTGATCCTTTTGAATATGTTAGGCCTTTTTCTTTATATTTGTAGTTGTTTTTTGTTTGTTTTTTTTGAGTCGGAGTCTCACTCTGTCGCCCAGACTGGAGTGCAGTGGCCGCTCCCGGTCACCGCAGCCTCGACCTGCTGGGCTCCGGCGAACCTTCCGCCTCAGCCTTCCGAGTAGCCAGAACTACAGGCGCGCGCTACCACGCCCGGCTGATTTTTTGATTTATTGTAGAGATGAGGTCTCGCTGCCTAGGCAGGTCTCGAACCCGCAGGCTCAGGCAATCCACTCACCTCAGCCTCCCAAAGGCGCGGGATTACAGGCTGAGCCACCGAGCCCGGCTTGTAGTTGGTTTTTTTAATTGATGTCTATAAATACAGCCTATTGAGATTATAGGCTGTATTTATAGGCATATGGGCTGAGAAATCATTACAAGCTTATAGGAAACCAGGATAGAGTTTTTAAAAAAGTCAAAATTACTTAGTTCAATTTATAAAACTGTTGTCCTATAATTTTATCTAGGTTTCTTTTTTCATATTTTTCCAGCTTTTGTTGGTATTAATTTGTGTGTTTACTTAGTTTATGTAGTTATTATTCATGTAGATTTCTTTATTCACCACCATAATACAAATACCAAACAGTTCCATTATCAAAAAATCCCCTTATATTACCACATCCTCCTTTCCCTCTTCTCTTCATCTGTAACCCCTAGCAACCACAAATCTGGTCTCCATCCCTATAATTTTGTCATTTCAAGAATGTTATATAAATAGAGTCATATAGTATGTAACCTTTTGGGATTGACTTTTTTCACCTAGTGTAATTATCTTGAGATTCACGCAACTTGTTACATATATCAGTTTATTCCTTTTTATGACTGAGTACAGCCATGACACGCATTTTTCAAAGTAGTTTATTTATGTACAATTTTGATTTTTTCTTATCTCTTAAGTGTACATGAGACAGTTCTAAGAGGCTATCAAATTTGTGTTTGTATATAGATATGAATTTATGGATATGAACAATAATATCTTGATTTGACAATTTATAAAACTGTGTAGTCCTGCCCTATGTCCTGTATTATCCTTTCCCAAAATTCTTAGGAAAGTATGTAACACCAGAGAAACAGTCAATAGCACTTTCACTTTGAGCTTTTACCAAATAATGTAATCTTTGTGACTCTTTTGTTATTCTTAAATAGGAAGATTTTTTTTTTTTTTGAAAGCAGGATTTATTGAGAGGACAGAGATGCCCCCACAGTGGGAGGGGAACTGAAGGGGTTGCCCCTTAATTCTTTACAAAGACATTCTTTAAAGATAATTAGCTAAAAACATGGCGATGGACAATATTTTAAAACTCTTTTTTAAAAAGTACTTTGTATACCCATACATACACTTTGTTGTATTCACACTATATAATTTTCAGAGTGCCTCTTTTCTCTTTTGCTTTCTTTTATGCTTGGCATGTCTGAGATTTGATTTTACCCCCACTTAAAACTAATAAATTAGCTTGTTAGTGTTTTCTGAATTGTGTCAGAAGATACTAGACCTCCTAGATGAAAGATGAAGGGCATTTTTACAGCATAGCAAGCAGCAGGGGCATCGGCATGTTTGTGTAGTTGCCCATTGTCCCTGAATTCTAGGGGGTTGGCTCATAGGAACCCAGGCAAGGCTGTTTATGCAACTTAGGAACACGCAGCTTGGACAACTGGCCATTTTGTAGAAAGCTGCAATTAAGCCTGTTCTTTGTCCCAAAGGGAAACATGACCTCATCCTTTAAGGCTGCTTGCTGAACTACAACCCTAAGAATGGGTAAAATGGGAGACTTTCTCTTCCTACAATAATTTCCCTAGTTTTTGAATTAATAAGGACACATGTAGGTTGTGTCTCTGTTTGTATACATATACCTATGCACGTAGCATCATAGCCTCTGTCTCTGCTTTATTTGCAGCTGGAGGTGCAGTGCCCTCCTGGTGTCACCATTGGCTTTGTTGCGGAACACTGGAACCTGTGCAGGGCAGTTTACAGCATCCAAAATGAGAAGAAAGAGAATGTGATGAGAGTGCGTGGCCCGTGCTCAACCTATGGCTGTGGTTCAGATTCTGTTTTTGAGGTAAACATTTTTCCTAAGTGTACTGACAGACCTCAGAATGATCTGCTTTTAGACCATTTTTTTTCATGTGGATGAATAAAGTAGCATGGAGAAAGAGTTAACCCATTGATATAAAAGTATTTTAAAATTATTTTAGTGGATTGTTTTAAAAAATGTGACCTTTTTATTATTTCAGTACTTGATAAAAATATAAATAAATCATTTAAAATGTTAAACCTTCTGAGGGTAAATAGCTTGACCAAATTCACTTATTCTATTTTTTTAATTTAATTTTTTTTAATTTTAAAGATGTGGGGTACAATTCAGGGTTAGGTATACAAATGTTCATTATGCAGGTGCTCTTATTGATGAGGTGTGTCCCTCCCTCCCCAGGCACTTTCCCTCAACTGCCAATCCCATTCCCCCTCCCCTGGCAGTTTCCCATTACTGCCAATCACTTTCATAGTCTTATGATAATTGTTCAAGGTCTGCTTATGAGTGAGAACATGTGGTACTCTCTTCTTTGTTTCTGTGATAGATCACTGAGTATGATAGACTCTAAATCCGTATTTAAGTAACCAATTTTCCACAGATTTCCAGGATGGGGATGTAGGTTCTAGGTGCTACATGTGCCTAACATATCACAGAACATGTAGAGCACTCCTAAGGTTGTACAAGTTGCTATCTGCTATACTGCAGATAAAAGTCTGTCAGTATTCTCAATAAATAGATTAGCACTGATAACATAGGCAGAACATAAAATAGGTTAGATTGTAACATTTTCTTTAAAAATCCTTTGTTTTGTCCTTATCTCAGTAACTGCAAGATATTTGTTTATTATACTTGTTTATTACCCTATAAATCTAACAAAGGAAATTCCTAGAAATATTTTCTAGGCTTCTTATAGAGTATATTCTGAATATCTTACAATTCAGCAAGACTCAGCATTCATTAAAACTGCTCATCCAGCCGGGCTTGGTGGCTCAGCCTGTAATCCCAGCACTTTGGGAGGCTGAGGTGAGTGGATTGCCTGAGCCCGCGGGTTCGAGACCCACCTGGGCAGCGAGACCTCATCTCTACAATAAATCAAAAAATCAGCCGGGCGTGGTAGTGCATGTCTGTAATTCCGGCCACTTGGAAGGCTGAGGCGGAAGGATCGCCGGAGCCCAGCAGGTCGAGGCTGCGGTGGCCAGGAGTGGCACTGCACTCCAGTCTGGATGACAGAGTGAGACTCCAACTCAAAAAAAAAACAAAACTGCTCATCCAGGTGTTTCCTGTTATACCCAATGCACTTTCCTTAGTTCTCATTTTATATCACTGTATCATTAAGAATTGTTGATTTATTAAAGACTAATGTAGAAAAGCCAAACTGCCAGGCAAGGTGTGTGTGGTCATTCATCACCAAGTGACATTAGAAGTTAGTATTTGGATATTTTTCCTGTGGCAAGTGCCAGTATCTTCTTTTTAGACACTGAATCCCGACCAGGCTCGGTGGCTCAGCCTATAATCCCAGTACTTTGGGAGGCCAAGGTAAGTGGATTGCCTGAGCCTATGGGTTCCAGACCAGCCCGGGCAACTTGGCAAGACCTTGTCTCTACGATAAATCAAAAATTAGCCAGGTGTGGTAGTATGTGCCTGTAGTTTGGGCTACTTGAAAGACTGAGGCAGAAGGATCCCCAGAGCCCAGCAGGTCGACTCTGGGGTGATGGTGATCATGCCACTGCACTCCAGCCTGGGCAACAGAGTGAGACTCCAACTCAACAAAACAAAACAAAACAAAACAAAAACAAAAGCAAAAACTGAATCCCTTTGGAATCCTCACATATGTTAAGAAGACAGGGTGGCTTTGACCCACAAAAGTTTGAGTGATGTGAAGTGGTGTCATGCCTCCCTGCTTTTGCTTATAGATTTCCCTAGATTGGAAGTGAGTCCCTTCTAATCCCCAATCCCTACTCTGTGCTACATGGAGAAGAATTTGATCATTTCAAACCATACCTCCTCTGACAAGGTCCTTAATAACTCATTTGAAGGTGGAAAAAGAGCAATTGCTAAAGATGTACCCCCAGTCAGTTATTAACCAGTTGCAAGGCACTTAACCCTTCTTGGTCATAATTTCCTCATTGAAATTGTGTAATTACCGTATCTTTTTCTCCATCGTATTTATGCTCAGTGTAAACTCCTGCTAAACAGAACACTAAAACATGTATGCTAATACTTTTCAGTCATCATCAAGTCACATGCTTGTCATTGTAGATCAAATCCCTTGATGGTGCATCCAACATCGGCAGCATTATCAGGAAGTGGAATGGCTTATTATCAGCAATGGCAGATGCTGACCATTTTGACATTCACTTCCCACTGGACTTAGATGTGAAGATGAAAGCCATGATTTTTGGAGCTTGCTTCCTCATTGTAAGCCTTTCATTTTTGAGTTATCCTAAGAGAATTATTCTTTCTGATGAGAAGCAACATAGTGTAGTAGAAAGGGAGAATCTTTGAAACTAGGCCAGCTTCTGTCTGTGCCACTTACTAATGTTTAACGTTTGCAGGCTTCAGTTTCCTCAGCTGTAAAATGAAAATAAAAATACTTATATTTTTCATGGTTACAGATATTAGCTATCATATGAGTAAAATGACCAGGAGAGTGTTTACATCCAGTGGGTGTAATTGTCTTCACTGCATGTTATCATTCTTACTACTTAAAAATGCCTATCCTATGATTTCTTAATGACATAACTCTAAAGCTGATGTCCTTTCCCCCTTCCTTTCTGTCTTCCTGTCAGTGTACATTTTGGTGTTGTGCCAACCTAGATTATCATGTTTCCTCCTTTTAATGATGAAATTTGGTTAACTGGTACCCAAAATGGAAAACCAACAGTTCTAAGTTTGTAGTTGCTGTACTTCACATTAGATCCTCTTCAGAAAGATTTCATTAGATTTATTTATTTTTAACTGGAATAGGAAATTACCCTAATACATTATAAAGAATAATATTGCATGTGTTACATCTAAGTATTTATATATCTGCCTTCCTATATGTATGTAATTCTTTTTCCAATTTCAGGACTTCATGTATTTTGAAAGATCTCCACCGCAACGTTCATCAAGATAGAAGGACACAGCAAATTATCAATTATGGTTGATAAAAATAATTTGAAAGTTTTGGATTAGGTTTACGGTCAACCTTCAATTATTTGCAAGTATATTTCTCTGCTTTGCAGATTATTTTTGTTGGAAGTTAGCCTTGGCAGGTAGGCTGAGAGTGTGATTGCAAGAACACAATCTAAATTGTATTTCAAGTGAATCTGTCTTCACTTGCTAGGCTAGGAGTTCATCCTGAAAAGCTATGACTCATTAACCCAGCTAACATATACAGAATAATACGAATATACACTATACACATGAGGTTTGCAAAATATACAGTATAAACGTGAGGTAAGGAAAAACGAACCCCAGAGCTCTCACATTAATAGGTAGCAAAATTATGGACTTTTTATAATAATCTTTGTTAGGATAAAATAACTTGACTTCTATCACCAACCCTATGCTACCTTTTCTCTGCATCACCATGTCCTGAGACTGAAGACAAACTTGATTCCACGCAAAAAGAATGATGCTCTTCATCTTTAAAAGACAAAAAGAAAGGTAGACAGAAACATTATGTTTTATTGTACTAGGAATATTTTATTTGTGTACATGTATCAAAACCTCATTCTGCAAAAGTTTATAAAAGTTTCCATGGGAACTTTGATTTTATTACAAACAAAACATGTCTTTTGTTTGTTTGTTTTAATCTTAATGTTTGTATTTTCCATGCCTGTTTTCTCATTCACTGGCATGAACAATCAAGAAGGCTCCTGAAGAAGAATAAAGAAATTAACTGACCAGGGCCACAGACAATCAAGATCTTTGAACAACTTCAAGACATCAATATCCTTATGAGAAACCTGCATTTAATACATTTAATACATAGCCTCTCTTGGTTAAAGATGCCGTATGTATAAAATATGTTTGACCGAGTCTCTAAGATCGCGTAGTGAACCTTTGTATCTCATTTGGTGTGATACAGAAAAGATACTTGTTTTTTTTTGTTGTTTGTTTTTCAAGAAGATCCCTGGTGATCACCAATGCTGTTCTAATGGCAAGGATTCAAATTATGTTTTTAAATTTTGAAGTGTGACACTTAGTGTAGCATTTTATAAAAGCGGAAGTTGCAAATTCAGACACTGCTTAATACTGCTTTGCTGCTTTTTATTTACATGATAGATAAATATGCATCTATACAAAATAATAATCAAACACAGCAAACATGCTACATATGATCTATAGCTTATCTCTAAAGAAGTAGGACCCAGAATAAAGTCCTAATTATACTTGTTTGTATTAACTAATTACAAGTCTAGTGTATAAGTGGATACACTGTGATTAATTTGCCTCTATTGCACTTTAACTTTCTATCTGAACACAGACTGTGTCTTTCTAAGCATGGACTGTGTTCTTTCAACACAGCTGTTTTGTAGAATGGGATGTATTCTCCTGCTGTTTATTAAGTAAGAAAACCTGAGTGTTTTTAGATGGGGTTATTCTGAGATGAGGGCTTTAGCCCACAGTTGTTTTTGAAATGAAAGAAGGGTGCTTCATTTAAAAATTATATTCACTTTTTCATGGTAAAAGTTGTTTCACTGTTTCTTGTAATGTTCATTTTTATATGCTGCTACTTGCTTTTTAAAAAAAAAATGTAAAAGCTGCTGCTGTCTAAAATATTAATTGCCTTATATTTGAAAGTGCCATTGCAATTTTAAATAGACTTACGTATTTCCTATAATAATATCTGACATTTAAATAGAATATCAGACAAACAGTATTACCTATATCAACTTTTGATTTTTACTTGCCTAAATTCCTATATTCCAAGACCTACAGCATAATACTAAATATGCACATATATATTTAGGATAAAACATAACATTTAAAATTTTTGTTTAAAGTTTTGTGGTATTAACATTTCTCTTACACTTAAAATGTCTCTTTAAAAAATAATATCATGTGTCATATTTTTATAATACAATTTACACTATAATTTCTATATTTCTTAATGGCATTTCATTGTGTAAAATTCATCAGTTTAATTAAAACAAACAAGCTACTCTCTGAAATTTGTGTTTTCATACTTCTTTATATTGTTTGTGATTTTAAATAAATATACTATGGTTAATAGTAAAATACTGTTTTATTTGACTTTTGCTTGAGTCTCTGAATACTTTTTTTAAAGGCATTTTTGAAGTAATGTTTATTAATTATTAGGTTTATTCAGGGTCCTTGCTTTCTAATATAAACTTGATACTATTCAAATCATTTCTGTAGTGTGGCTACTACTATCTAACTTTTGTATATAGCCCAGTTATTTATAAATGTTTATTTCTAATCCACTTATTTATGATGCATCTAAATTCCAAGTATAATTTCAGTGTCTATATATCCTGTAAGAAAGCTTCTAGAATTTATAACTGTCCGTGAAGTATGCATTTTAAAATAAATTTTCTAAATGACCAGGTTTTCCAACAATTACACAAAAAAGTGGGCTACCAGATGAACTTACTAGCTGAGTTTTCAAATCAACTAGATGTTAAATTAAGTTGAAATATGGAATAAGCAGAGTGATCCCAGAGTATGGTGTCTTGCCACCTGTTGGGGCAACTGGCTACTTTTCAGTCTTTTTCCCTCAGTGTTCAATGTTTGATTTATTTTATATTGAATGATGTAAGCTTGGGAGACTCTTAGGCCTGGACTTAATAACCTAATATCAAATTCAGCTGTTTGGCTAGTGAAGCTAATGTTTAAAGCGGATCTTTTTCCATAACTTCACAGAATGCATTTTCCGTTTTCCTCTAGGTCTCTTAAATTGTAAATCTCGAGAAAAACAGAATAATACACTCCAAATGTAGTCAAAGTGAGGCAGCGTAACATGCTTTGTGATAACACTTAGCATAGTTAATAATAGCGCATGGTAGGCCATTACTCAGTATCTGCTAAATGAATAAAAATACAGTCAGTGGATGTATTTTTGAAATATTTATTACAACAGTCAGTAAAGTTTTTTTTTTTACCGTCTTTTTCACTATTTCATTCCACCAATACTTACTTTTTTGAACATTTACTAAGTTCAGGCATTAAGTTATTTCTGAAGACAGAAGGAGATATGAAAACGAAAAATACGTAATCACTGCACCCAGGCTCATAGGCAAGTGGACAAGACAGACTTTTAAACAATAAAACACACTTCTTGACTGCAATGAACATGTGATTAGTGGTATGTTGGCACATTTAATAGAGGCCATATCATTAGCACCATCTCAGATGCTGAATAATATATTCTTGTTCCATTTAATCAGACAGTTAAGGCTGGTTGTTTGTGTCATGCCTCAGAAAACTTCCCAGCACTGCTGGAGGTAAGATGCATGTTTATAGCCATGTCTGCTGAATGCATGGTGAGTGCAATTTAAAAGGTGAGTTTAGCAAATTTCATCACTCAAAACAGGGATTGATTGTTTATTACAGTAAATCGTGAGTCCAGGACAGTGTCTGGTACATCTACGATGCTTCACAAATATTTGTTGAATGAACAAACAAAAGTTATATGTGTGTAACCCTGCACTAGGTATTCAAGGAGACAGACATGAACAAGTAGTCCTCTATCCCCTCAGCAAGGATAAAGCAAGTAGATAAATAATTGCATCACAAAGCTAAGTAATTACTGCATACCATAAATACAGTTTTTTGTTGGAAATGTTTATTTCTAGATTCTCACAACTACATCATGAGGTAAATAACAATCTCATTTTTCTGAGGAAAAGCCAACTTCATCAAGAGGTGATATTAGTAAGGAGATGAGGTACTAAGGAGTTTCTTCCTCTCCTGTTACGGTCATAAAGGAAAGCCAAAGGGTTAGATAAAAGGTAAAAAACGTGAAAGCTTTTGGAAGAATGAGAATAGGACAAATAGAATTTAATGCAAATGCTTGTAGAGCTGACCCGTGTCAAGATTCCAACCAGAAATGGGGTGAAGCCAATTGTCCTAATTCTATGTCCCAATTGCCCAGAAGTTGGTGTGTTCACTAACGGGTGTGTGTGGCAAGGGTGGTGGAGTTGCTAGGGTGAGGTGATGGTGGACACTTTGCACATAGCTAACTAAACAAAAAGTAAATTGCAAATTCTAAAAACATGTTCTGTAATTAGCCAACTTAAAGGTTGCCCATTAAATGTTCTTGCAGTTCTTCGTTCTGCTGTTGCTTACAAAAAAGCTAGTCATGTGAAGTCATGTAACTTTGAGATGTGTAGTTGCTAGACTGACCTCAAGATTTAATTCTGGGCCAGATGGATATGCATCTGGGCATGTATGGAGAAAAACCAAGCTAATCATGAGATTGGTGGGGTGATGTAATTAATTATTATTATTATAACAATCATAAAGGTGATGATAAAAATAGCTGACTCTTTAATGTTTCCTATAAGCCAGATACTGTGTTGGTTCAAAGGAGTTTCCATATATTTACCTATTTAATTCTTATAACCCTATGAGATAGATTGCTATAATAATTTCCATTTTACAGAAAAGAAAATGGATATTTAGGTATTCTGCACAAGGTCACTCCACTAGCTATATATCCACAAAGTCACTATTTAACTGCCTAAAGCAATCTACAGATTCAATGCAATTCCTCTCAAAATGCCAACATTATTTTTTCACAGAATTAGAAAAAAAAAAAATCCAGTTTTTCTTTCTTGAAAAAACTTGCCCATTACAGGTCTTTCTGCCATGAATCTTCCTGTTTCCTTTTCCTCTTTTTCTCATTAATAAACTTTGTTTTAAAACTTTGCTGGTCCTGGGCATGGTGGCTTACGCCTGTAATCCCAGCACTTTGGGATGTGGAGGCAAGAGGATTGCCTGAGCCCACGGGTTCAAGACCAGCCTGGGCAATATGGCAAGACCTCATCTATTAAAAAAAAAAAAAAAAATCCTAAAATTCATAATGGAACCAAAAAAAAGGACCCAAATATTTAAAGCAATTCCAAGAAAATAGAACAAAGCTGGAGGCATCACATTATCTGACTTCAAATTATACTACAAGGTTATAGTAGCCGAAATAGCATGGTATTAGTCTAAAAATCCAGAGACCACACTCTAAATCATTATGGTCTATTATTCTTTCATCTCTATGTGATACCTAGTTTCTTTGTATAATAACACAGAAATACCAGAGACACAAAAATAGAGAAGAATTGTGGCATGTTACCTCATGGGTTTTCAATTTTAGTATTATGGCTGGGAAACCCTTGGAACTCCATGGAGGTCTCATGAGTGTGCATTCTCTCCAGAGAGGTTTGCTCTTGCTCCTACTGGTACCCCAGTGGTGTTACTAGTAAAAGATCATTTTTTATGTTATTTTTTCGGTTTGGTGTTTCCCAAGGAATATAGGTACTTTAAATATGAACAAATATGAACCCCTGAATGACAGGGACAAATCTTGGTTTATGAATTCTCAGGAAATGATTTTTCTTACTTGTAGGACAAGTCAAAACAGTCCATCAAGCTTTCTCCTAATCTCCATTTGTCAATGGGTAAATTTTTTTTTTCTCTTTCACCCTTTACACTGGAATGTGTCCTTTTGAGGGTTTCC